TCCAAGAAATTGGAACCTGCGCAAACTCGTTACAGTACCTTTGGCAGAGAACTGTTAGCCATCTACCTAGCAGTTAAACATTTCAGTTACTTACTACAGGGCCGGCATTTCACTATTTTTACTGACCACAAGCCCCTGTGTCATGCTTTCACTACTTCACTCGATAAACACTCCCCTAGAGAAGCCAGACAGTTGGATTATATCTCCCAATTCTCAACCGACATCCAGTACATCAAAGGGGATGCGAACGTGGTAGCCGATTCTCTTTCAAGAAGTGACATTAACCAGCTTCAAACGTCGGTAGACATCAGTCTTGATCGTATGGCTCAATTACAAAGAGATGACGTTGAACTCCAAACCTGCCGCAGAAACTCTTCCTTACAGCTCAAAGATGTGCCTATCCCCTTATCAGATGCAACCATAGTCTGCGATGTATCTACCGGAACTAATCGTCCATTTGTCCCTCTCAGTTGCCGAAAAGCATTGTTCGAACATTTACATTCGCTTTCTCACCCTGGAGTACGCGCCACGGTCAGACTGATCAGCGAACGCTTCGTGTGGCCTAAAATGAACTCTGACATTCGGAGATGGGCACGAGAATGTATCCAATGCCAATGCTCCAAAGTACACCGCCACACTATTACAACCCCGAAGACGTTTAAATTACCCGAAAGGAGATTTCAGCATATCCATATAGATATCGTGGGACCATTGCCAACATCAAGGGGATATACACATATCCTGACAGCGATTGATAGATTTACTCGTTGGGCTATTGCATGCCCCTTAAACGACATATCTGCTGAAAACGTTGCTTTAGTTTTTCTCGACCGTTGGGTGTCAAACTACGGTGTACCAACTACTATTACATCCGACCGCGGTCCTCAATTCCAATCGACACTCTTTCGCGAACTGACGAGACTTCTGGGAGTGAAACATATCTCCACAACAGCCTATCATCCGGCAGCGAATGGTCTAGTGGAAAGATTCCACAGACAACTGAAAAGCTCCCTGATGGCGCAGAATGATACATCTAAGTGGAGTGAATACTTACCTTTGATTTTACTTGGTATCCGTTCTACTATCAAAGAAGATTTAGGATGTACACCGGCTCAACTTGTCTATGGCACCAACCTAACCTTGCCTGGACAGCTAGTCCCCTCAGCCGATTCCACAGACGTGAACATTGCCGACTTCACTAACCGATTAACTAGACAAATGCTTCAACTTCAACCAACAGCACCTCGACAATCTCCCCGAAGAGATCAGATCAACAAACATCTACAAACTTGCAAATTCGTCTTCATTCGAGTCGACGCCATCAGAAAAGGATTGCAACCTCCATACGAAGGACCCTTTCAAGTTATTAAACGTTCAGACAAACACTTTACAGTGAACAAGAATGGAAGACGAGAGACTGTTTCGGATACTGTATACTTCGGATTTATTGTAGGAGCCTACTACTCTCAACCGAAGACATTTCTACAACCGGAACACAGCAGCTACAGCAGACGCAGTCCAAACAATTAACGTGCCCGTGGATTATATAATTAATTTGTAGTCGAGGACTTAGACGTTATCTACAAGTAATCCTTTTTGTTGCTATAACTCGTCACTGTATTTTTGGTAATATATTGTGATTTAACACTCCACTGACTTGGATTATTACTTTTATACTTGGAATGTTAGTGAACTCTAATATTAGTCCCCTACAAACATTCCTCTACCAAGTTTCTTCTCTGCTTGAGATACAACATCAGCTGGCTGTCGCGAATCGTCAGAAATTGGAATTTATAGTCCATCAGATAGCGACATAGTGACTGGATGCTCTACAATCTTCCCTAGTAACGGGGAAGTCCTGGGTTCAAGCCTCATTAGGTGCCTGCTGCTGAAGAGTTCCAGAGTAGAGCAAAGCGGTTGCTCAGAATTCCCTGGTTTTACAATGTTTCTTTAAGCTGGTGTTAGCTCGTGGCCGAATCTGCGAAGTTGGAAACAGTCTTCTCAAGAAGTAGCAGCTGCGGGAACTGTGAGATCGTCAGAACAACGTAAGTCATGCAGCAAGAAGAAGAGGAAAAAAGCAGTCGAGGATGACATACAGAGCCCTAAGCAAAATTGGCTTCAATATGCAATAAAGTGGAATACTTCCCCCGCCCCCCGTCATACACTGTCGGTCTACTGTCTTCATCCTGATTAAAATTAAGACTATGGCCAATTAGCCTATTGATAATAATAATTAAAATTTAAACTCTTAATTTATATTGTTTATATTTAATTCTGGCACTAATTGTCAATTTCCGGTATAATTAAACATAAACATATATAAAAATGTATATTCATTCACTTAACGTCCTTTGATAAATAACTACAGAATAAGTGAAACCTTTTGGCTATTCATTATCAAATTGTAATTTTATTGGTTTCAATTTATTTATTCATTAATAATGATATAAATATCCCTTCGTAATTTACTAATTATTACCATAACTGGTGAAAATTGTAAATGTAAGTTACTAGAGTGTACAATGTTTAATGACAGTTTTGTTTATGATTAATTTGATGAAACGTTCTTTTTGTCTTATATCTACTGATTTTTGGGACCCAACCGATAATTCCTACCTTGATTTCGACATCGATGTCGAGTCAGCAAGTTATACTGGCTGGAATGAATGATCCATCAGCAACAGTTTGTATAGCGATTAGACTTAGACTAAAAGCAGTTACTATCATACTGTTTTCTTTGATAGTTTGTCGGGGATCTAAGGGGGAATTGTAATTCTTGTCTAATGGTATTTGCCTGAAATGACCAGCAAGGCAGCTATACTGACTCTTGACTCTCGATAAGAGGAGTTATACAGAAAAGATCGACTCTGTCACCATGAGATGACATTGGTTTGAGAACTATTGGAAAACCAGTACTCGAGTACTGGACAGCTGCTTTGTCAGACTAGTTTGAGACTCTTGAGTACTACATACCCAAAGAGGTTCGAACTAAGGACCTCCTGGTGACAAGGTGAGCTAATAGACCATTAAGCTACAAGGACCCGACAGTCCAATGGCCAGTCCATGAATTCCAACTTCTGCCAATTCATGTACAGTATAGGGCGACTGTCACCGGCTAGTATCATCGCTGGCGAGTATCTGTCCTCACACTTGACCTTCTGTACCTCACTAGAACCCAGGTAATTACCTACCTGGATAGGACCAGCCACTAGAGAACAACAGATTGATATTCCAGTCAATATATATGTGAAACTTGGGCACTGTAGTGGTATGTAATTCCATATTAATTTGTTTATTAGATGGATATATCACACAGTCAGATGAACAGTATTATTATTTACAGGATGACGAAGTTTCGAACACAATTTATTTATTGTTCATAATCATATTCTCAATTATAATCACATGACTTCGAAACTTGATTTTTATAGTTTTATTTATTCTTTCCTATTTGTGGTCATAGGGGGAGTAGAATTTTCCATATGTCCTGGTGGACAGGTGTTGAATCATTCCTATTATTGCATGTATTTACAGTTGATTCGATAAATAAAGCTTCCGTTACCAATCTCTCCCTCCATCCTGTTACATTAGATCTTAAATCTGTTATCTTATCCCATCCTATTGCACGATAATGTGTAATTGCATCTAGTGAGTACCATAGCTGAACTAACTATTCTCCAGATTTCTTATCTTATTCGGGTCAACTCATCCAAATTTCGCTGCTAGGTTCTTGGGCTCCACTAGTCTGACTGACTGACTTACACTGTTCTGCTTGCTATTTTGACCTATGTATATGACCTGACAATCATTCTATCAGGGTATTAGATAAACTAAATTGTTTTGTTTAATTGGCTCCACAGAATCCACTATTTAACCAACAAAGCTTATTTTTAACTGGGTTTGTGGGCAATTTGAATGCCAGCCACTTTTATTCCTGCCTGTATTGTTAAGAATTCTCCGTAAGGTGGTTTCCGAGGCTCCTTCTTTGTATGAAAGTACTACTAATGATGGTGATTTGAATTCCCTATTTTTGGTGTTGTCACTATTTTGTGCAAACTTCACATGCATGTCGTCATTAATATTATTATTATGATTATTATCACTTTCACTACTATCATTATTAATTTTGTTTTTACACTTTCACACATACTTCCTGATTAATTTATCAGGGTAATTATTGAGTTCCAAAACTTCTCTTTCAGATTTTCCTTGGTACTACTTAGTTTTTGTGCTCTATGACTTAAACATTTCACCAGTCTGATTTTTACTGACATGGGCTGGGATGAACGAAAATTTAAATATCTGTTTGAATGTATGGGTTTCCTGTAAACACTAGTGTTTAAATTCCAATCTTTTTTCCGTTTTACGCTACAAACTATCATTCGAAGCTCCTCTTCTTGACTTTCCAATTCATAAGTGAACTGAACAGCCTCTACCTTCTAGTTGATGTGTTCGAAATATATATATATTCATTTCCTGTATTCTAGTACGGTGAATGTGTTATCTATATACCTCGATCATATTTTTGGAGGCGGGGCTGAACGTCTCAATCGCTATGTTTTCCCACCTATCCATGAATACATCTGTCACAATCGGGGATATTGATAACCCCATAACAACTTCCCCTCCTTGTTTGTTTATTTTTCCTTGGAATTTAAATACTGTGGAAGTCAGGCACAATAAATTGTGTTCGAAACTTCGTCATCCTGTAAATAATAATACTGTTTCGTTAACTGTGTGTGATATATCCATCTAATAAACAAATTAATGTGGGGTTAACATTGAAATGTAAGTTTGCATGGATTTGATTTAAATTGTTCCTGGATTTCATCAGGAGCTGACATTTTAATCGAAAAGAATTGACTTCCAAACAACATCCACAGCAAGAACAATTGATTTTAAGATATCTGATTCGTGGTATTCATTAAACCATATTTATCAGGCTGAAAAAGTATGCCCACCGAATTTGCTGGATTATCATAGTGATAACGTTTTGAGCAGTATAAACGAGTGAAACTGCACAGCATGAAATTGTGGTCAAGATAGCAAAACATTAATGCTTTTTATAAATGATACATTGTGATCCACGCCCCCCCTACAGGTTATTTTGATTGATCAGGTTACATGAAACGTACAAAATGGGAAGGTGAACACACCAGATGCTTTTCACCATCATGCTATATCATTGTCAACAATGAACTGTGAATATTTTGAAGTCTTGTTAATTATTTATGGTAGGGTTGTATCCTGGTTCTCTTGGTTATCAAAACGCTTCGAGAATATTCATTTTACATGTTTGCAGAACTGTATTCAGACAAGGAATGGACATAGTGTAACGACAGAAGACAACGGCCAGGTAACAGATCGTTTACTGAGAAAGTCAACACATATTCATAGATTTTTATATACATTAGTATCAGAGTTGTTGTTAGCAGAGAAGCAATGTCTTCTGATTGGTTGTTTTACTTGCTGAATCATATTTGTACACGTTAGGTCTGCTGTGATTGGTAGTTGAGTTCCTCAAGGTTAGGCTTAGTTCTTGTTTCCTCTCCTGACCCTGATTTGGGACGTAAACATAGACGCCAGTTGTTGTCTACAAATTTGTCTTGCAGACAGCATACTAATGCAATAGAGTAATTAAGAAGAGATGCTTGCTAATCAGGCAGAAGGTTCGGGCTCGACTTCCAGCTGATGTAAACTGGTAAACCTCGCCTGATTTACTAGCTGATTGTGTGTGTGAGGCTAACAGTCCCATCACCGCTATTGAAAATTCAATATGCCCCCCCCCCTTCCGAGAGTGAAGAATGAAAACAGATGATGTGTACAGTAATTTTTAATAAGCAGTGAACCCGCAAGGTCATACTTTGTAACCATAATTACTATATGATTTATTATTCATTTCAAGTTTTTTTAAGTGGAACATTGGGTCTCAGTGGGTTACTTCCATCGCTTTCACTTCTGTGTCTATAATTGTGCCCTAACTGAAAGAAGACTTATCAGTCGACTGGCTTTGTAATGGCTTTTGTCAACCGGTGTCATCTCTCTTCGAAAGTGAAGAGTTTGCAGGATTCTCGAGATGAATACACTTCATATTTTTGTTGCACTCTCAACTTTCCATAGCCTTTGGGGTGTTTTTATGAGGTTAAGTTCAACCTCCCCTCTTTTCCAAGTTTAGGAAAGCCTAATAAACTAGGCGAGGGTTACTACAACACATTTGCTGTTTTCTAATTCGTCCATTCAACAACACATATGGAAAAGACAAAACGTTCAGTGAAGAGACTCTTTCCGCTACCGATTCATTCACATAGCTGTACAATCGCATCTATATACAGTTATTTGTGTGTGTGTGTGTGTGTACATGAGGTTTGTCAAGTTTAGATAATTAATCAGGCAATAGAAGAATGATCTAATATAGAAACAAGGTTATTCATATAAGAGTAGAACTTGTGCAATGTGGTGGTAGAGTATAATTCCATTATGGGTAAAATTTATCTTGATAAAGTCGCACACGGAGTGTTATACTGTAAGTAATATTTACTGATGACCACGTTTCGAGCAAAATTTATTACTGTAGCTCATAACCATATCAAGTCACTCACTCACACAACTTCCTGACTTCGTTTACATACATGAGTAAAAATTGACTAGACATATGAACAAAAAATCAATCAAAGACCAAAAGTGGTCAAAATCAAAGTAAAAATAGTAATGATAACATAAATAAGAAAGAATATAAGGCATCTACATTTTCACCATATCACGAAACGACTTCTGATATAAGACCCTACGTAGGATTCTCAACAAAGAAAGAATTAGGGTGGTGGTGGTGGTGGTGGTATTCAAACCTACAAACTCATTCAGGTAGGACAAGCTCTGCGGACTAAAGGACCACGTAGGTTGACCCAATTAGACAAAATAATATAATTTACAAAATACCACCTTGTAATGACTGTGAGTGAGGTCAACTACATAGGTCAAACCAGTAGTAGATCGAGGGTAGTTAGATTATCAGAACATACGAATTTAGTTAAGGTTCGAATGATTGATCCCATGATGATAAGTAATTTGGGGAAAAAAAACTCAGCAATCACACTGAGTGAATTAACACACAACCACACAACAGGGTGAGAGAGGGTTAAAATTCTAAGATGTAATATAGGTAGGTGGAGATAGATAGAGAGAGAGAGAGAGAGTGATTACTGAATCCTGGATCATCGAGTCTACACCCAACAGGTGCGCTAGGAATGACTCATTTCATATTAGTTTGTTTATTAGCTGGATATATCACACAGTCAGTGAAACAGTATTATTTACTGGATGACGTTTTGAACAAAATTTATTGTTCATAATCATATCAATTATAATCACACAAAGTCGTGTTTCACTGTGTGATATATCCATCTAATAAACAAACTAATATGAAATGAGTCATTCCTAGCGCACCTGTTGGGTGTAGACTCGATGATCCAGGATTCAGTAATCACTCTCTCTCTCTCTCTCTCTCTATCTATCTCCACCTACCTATATTACATCTTAGAATTTTAACCCTCTCTCACCCTGTTGTGTGGTTGTGTGTTAATTCACTCAGTGTGATTGCTGAGTTTTTTTTCCCCAAATTACTTATCATCATGGGATCAATCATTCGAACCTTAACTAAATTCGTATGTTCTGATAATCTAACTACCCTCGATCTACTACTGGTTTGACCTATGTAGTTGACCTCACTCACAGTCATTACAAGGTGGTATTTTGTAAATTATATTATTTTGTCTAATTGGGTCAACCTACGTGGTCCTTTAGTCCGCAGAGCTTGTCCTACCTGAATGAGTTTGTAGGTTTGAATACCACCACCACCACCACCACCCTAATTCTTTCTTTGTTGAGAATCCTACGTAGGGTCTTATATCAGAAGTCGTTTCGTGATATGGTGAAAATGTAGATGCCTTATATTCAAACCTCATGTGCACACACACACACACACAAATAATTGTATATAAATGTGATTGTACAGCTATGTGAATGAATTGGCCGCGAAAAAGAGTCTCTTTGCTGAACGTTTTCTATTTTTCATATAACTCAATGGGGATTTTTAAAAAGATAAATGTCTTGTATATGTAATACTACTAATACTACCAATAGTTTTGTCAGAGATAATGGGTTGATATTCATTTGTCAACCATTTGTCAATTTGTTCACTTTTTCCAAGGCTTATTTAATTGCATGAAGGATTTAATCATGAGCTGACATCAATTACAGAACCACTGGAAAACCTGGGAGTACTGGACAGCTGTTTCGTCCTAGTTTGGAACTCTTCAGCGGTACGCACCCACACCACAGTGGGTTCGAACCCAGGACCTTCTGGTTACAAGGCTAGCGAGCTCGTAGACCATTGAGCCACTGGGACCCGGTCCAATGGTTCTTGAATTCTAACTTCTGCCAGTTCACGACATAGCGCGACCACTTCACAATGTCTTCTTCGATGAGTTACTGCCTCATCTTCGACCTGCTGTACCCTACTTATTTAATTGTTGAAATAATATAAAAGATTTATAAGTTTGAATGAGGATTGGAATAGTTTAGTTTTATCTGTGTTTCACTATTTAATCTTGAACGTTTCATTATCAGCCTGGGTAACATTTTCAAACCAGGAAACAAATATTAAGGTGTATTAACTTGAAATGTTTATTCCAGAAAAAACAAAAAAACAAAAAATTCGGCAAACAATATCCTCTGAGATAATCGCCTCTTTCGCCTGAACAATTATATATGTACATGATTATATGCATAGAATATTCTAGAATAATAGTCATTAGGAATATTAGTGTTTCGTTTAAATAATATCGATTTTGAAATAATAGAAAAGATTTGTAACTCAAGTAGATGATTTGCAATTAATAGTGTTCTCTGAGCTGGTTGGTTGGTTTAGTTCCGGAGCTTTCGTCGTCACCCTTCTGGACGACATCTTCAGCGCAGTATTTAGCATAAAGTTAAATGATTTAAAAATCGCCATGAATGATAGATGATACAATTGCGTCTCCTGGTGACCAACCATCTTCACATATGTGTATTGACCGTTTTCTATCGATTGGGATTTTAAACTTTCTGGTCATCTGATTTGCTTTTTATTAGTTGATATATTTCATCTATATTAACGTGTTTATTAATGGCATTTTCGTTTGAGTACCAGGCTTCTAGGAATTCCCTGGTTGTACTTTTGGTGTTTCCTCTGTCTAAGATTTTGATATTATCCCAATCAAATTGATGTCCATAATTGTCTGTATGCATTGATACTAAAGAATTTATATCATGTCTTTTCACGGCTGACTTGTGTTCTTGGAATCTTATTCGAAGGGGACGCCTACTTTGGCCGATGTAATGCTTGTTACAGTTCATACAATTTATTTTGTAAATGGTGTTAATTTTATCTCCTTTTTCTATCGGATCTTTTGGTTTGCATAAGATCGAATTAAGCGATTCGGCTGGTTTGTGTGCTGTATCTATGGAAAACGGTTTCATTATTCTAGCCGTTATTTCAGAGATATTTCTGATGTATGGTAGGATGAATTTCTTTTTGGTCTTTGGTGATGGTTCTTTGTTGGTGCTTTGATTCGACTTTAAACACTTTTTGATGAAATTTTGTGGGTAACCATTCTTATTGAAGACCGTTTGTAAGTATTTTTTCTATGCTTTTCAACTCTGGTGTGCTACACTGTTGTGTTTGCACTCTTCTAAACAATGTCTGCACACAGTTTCTTTTGTGAGTGAGTAATTGGATTATTGCTAGAATAGTTGAGTATTTGATCTGTGTGCGTTGATGAAATATATCAACTAATAAAAAGCAAATCAGATGACCAGAAAGTTTAAAATCCCAATCAATAGAAAACGGTCAATACATATGTGAAGATGGTTGGTCACTAGGAGACGCAATTGTATCATCCATCATTGATGGAGATTTTTTAAATCATTTAACTTTATGCTAAATACTGCGCTGAAGATGTCGTCCAGATGGTTGACGACGTAAGCTCCGCGACTAAACCAACCAACCAGCTCAGAGAACACTATTAATTGCAAATAATATCGATTTGTTAAGTAAGATCACAATGGAATTATTACTGTTCAAGATAGACGCATAATTTGTAATAGGCATAAAAATGTAATATCAAATAGAATATCAAATAAAATGAAGCAAACCTTGGTGCAAAAGATGGTTAGGGATATGGTCTGAACCAGCTTCTTTTGGACGCATAAATTAGGTTTCTTAATTAAGATGGATCCCAACAACCAGCCTCAGTAATATACAATAGACGGAGGTGAAGCCAAGATATGTTGGTATGCGATGAATGACTTCGAAAGCCGCCTTCTTGTTTGCATCAATCTTGTGTTCTGTATCCACAAGATGAGATAGAACAACGCTACGAATAGATTTGGTTTGTCCTTTACTTAACCAACCACTATGCAGGATGATGTTCAGAAATCTGACGAAAAACACGCCAAATTGTACAGCCTATGTAACAACAAATCTTAACTTCTCCTTAAGAGTTCGTCTACTACACATATTGCTTAGGCTGGCTGTTGGGATCCACCTTAATTAAGAAGCCTAACTTATGTGTCCAAAAGAAGCTAGTGCAGACATTATGCTTACCACTCTGACCATCTACGTTCGAATGATCCTCATATTTTCGTAGAAATTTTCCTAATTTTATTTGATATTCTATTTACTATTATATTATTATTATTATAATTTACACATCTTTAATTAACTGTAATTTCATATATCTGTAACAAATTAAGGACCATGAAGACTTTGATGGCCACGAGGGTAAGGATAGTATCTGAACCACATTCTTTTGGGTGCATAGATTAGGTTTCTTAATTTGGATCCCAGCTATCAGCCTCAGCAATAATAGGAAGAAGTTTATATAGAAAACCCTTCATCAACTGGTCAGTATACTCATCTATTCATCTGCATGCCCTTGAAATACACACGCAAGCTGATAAAGTGCTTCGTCCGCCATAGAGCAAGAGAGCAATCTGCTCTGATGGGTGTCTTAACGCAGAGATTAATAGTATTAACCAGTTGCTGAGTGAAAATGGCTATCCAGAAAAATCGATCGATAATAATGTGAATCAATATCAAGTCAAGCCAACGTGCCAATCAACAGTTCCGAATAAGGAAGGCCTTGTTCCTACAACTTCACTTCCTCGGGGGTAAACATCAGTGAGATATTAACATGAAGCCTAAAGAATACGGCAGTTAAAAGGGTATTCACTACTACAGTGAATTACACTGTGTCTTCAAAACCACCACACCACCTATTTTGCATTCAGGAGTAGAAGATAAACTGCTTGATTTTGCCTCTTTTGTGTATATTTACCAATTTAACTGCTTCTGTGGAGCCGCACGATTATACTTGTTTCTCATCGAATTTCCGATCATCATCCTACGTAGTGGTTAAGTAAAAGACAAACAAAATCTATTCTTAGCACTATTCTATCTCATTTTGTGGATACAGAACACAAGATTGATACAACACAACAAGGTGGCTTTCAAAGTCATTTACCGCATACCAGGAAATCTTAACTTCACCTCAAGAGTTCGTCTACTGCATATTGTTGAGGCTGGTTGTTGGAATCCACATTATGAAGCCTAATTTATGCGTCCAAAAGAAGCTAGTTCGAACTTTGTCCTTACTTTGAGTATCAAGGTTCTAATGATCCCTAATTTTTGTAGAAATTTCTCTAATTTTAGTTGATATTCTATTTGCTGCTATATTATTATTATTATTTATATTATTAATGAACTGTAATTGCATTGATCTTACTTTACGAATCGATATTATTTAAAAAAACACTAATATTGTTGTTGACTACTAATCTAGAATATTCTATGTATATAAACATATATATAATTGTAGAGCAAGAAGAGGAATTTATCGAAAAGGATATTCTTTGCTAAATCTTTTGCTTTTTCTAGATGTCTGAATGAATATTTCCGCCATATTCATTCCAGAAAACTTGCTGGGATTGTTCCAATGTAGATTTTGATCATAAACCAAAACCATCGTGCGTCGGTAGCACAGTGGTTAGGACTCTCGCCGACCATGTACATGGTCCGAGGTTCGATTCCCTGCCGACGCATACCTGATATCTATGGTCGGTCTGCAAAATTTGGGCTACCGATATCCATGCTGAAAATTCCATACTTGTACCAAAAATACGGTGTAGAATCAAGCTGTAATCAAAAATAAATAAATAAAGATAAAATCATTTGGTGTATCATTACAGACCAAGGAATATTTACTAGACATCTATTTCATATGTTCCAGAATTCATTTAGCATAGAGTATTCAGTTGAAGAGTTCTACCTGCTTAATTTACCACTTGTTTTTTGTTTAAATTCGTGTTTTATACTCCTCAGTAACGCGTACCCTCGAGGCCAATTGGGATCAGACCCAGGACCTTCAGACTTCAAGGCTATCCCATTGACAATTCATTCAATAGGACTGGAGTTTTTATTGACTTATCAGGAATTAAAAGGAGTTGGAACTCCCGAATTATTGAATGCCTGCTCAAGTAACTGTCTAAATATTCAACTAGATGTCCTCGTAAAAACCTGAGAGCCCTAGGATCATAGGTGTAAACTGCTGGTCAGTCTTCAACATAGCTGGTCCACATAGTTGTCCAACACCTCTCAACCAAATGACTTTAGTTTATGCCGACATCAACAATGAAACTGATCTATAATCTAAATTGATTAATTATTTTATTGATTAATAGGCGTTAATTCATTTTTGTTTTTGTTTTTTCAGTTTTATTGTTTCGAAATTATGCGATCAGCTATTTGGATCTATATTTTAGCATACTGTTTGTATTGTCTCACAATGATTGAGGGTAAGTTTAGTAATAATCGTGTGTTTTTTTTATGCGAACATATATGACTATATGTTGAGCAGTATGTTCCCTCATTGGTCATTCGGGTGTCTGTTATAGTTTATATCCTTACTGTTGATCTCAACATGATTGAAGGTACATTGTGAAATATTCAAGTATTGGTTTGTAGGGATTTGATTGATTGGTTACGGGATTTCATCATGAGCTAACATCGGTTACAGAACAATTGGAAAACCTGCAGAGAGTACTGTACGGCTGTCTCGTCCCAGCTTGAGACTCTTCGTATTACGCACCCTCTGGGGTTCGAGACCAGAACGAAACAGCTGTCCAGTACTCCCTGCAGGTTTTCCAGTGGCTCCCCCAACCAATGTCAGCTCATGATGAGATCCTGTAAGCAGTCAGTCGAATCCCTACTTGAACCAATACTTGAATATTGTCAGTACCTTGATGTATCGTGCTAGAAAAATTTGCACAACCCCGAAACTCTAAACAATGTAATCAGGAAAATGGACAACGTTTTACCCCAAACATTTTTTTAAGGTCTTGATAGGGAGAAAAGATAGAAAGAAATGTCTGGAAACTGTGTGGAAGAAGCGCATATGCATCATTTTACCGTTTAAAGGAGACACAGCAATTGAATTGCTGACATCGAAACTTCAAAAAATCATAGCTAAAACATTCTTTGCAGCAACATTGTGTTTAAAATTCGCCATTCGTTATATAATTCCAACTCAGGTGAAGGGTAAGCTACCAAGTCTCGCCTCCTCATCATTGTGCATTTGTAAATTTAACTGTTCATGTGGAGACAGCTACACATAGGTAGAACAACTCGAAAAGCCCACCGTCGCCTTCTGGAGCATTGTTCAACATGGTTAAGTAAATTAGTCGTCAGGTCAATCAAAGATTCTACACTGGCACACCTAGTGGATATGGAGCTTTTAAAATTCTATACAGGATGCCACCTCAACTCCGTAGATTGGTACGTCTTCAATTGGTAAGCATATAGCTGAGGCAGTTGGCAAAAAGAATTTTCAACCCAATCTCCCTCCCTCCCTTGACCTTACCTCCCTCAACCTAAAATAGTTATCTCTCCCGGTGACACCGGATAACTGCAAATATTGTCTTATTATTTGATTTGATTTGATATTGTCTTATTACATTTATATTTTATTTTATTTGTAGTGCTAACTGCATTATCAATATCAATATTCTCGGTTTAACAGTTTATCGTTATTATTATTATTATTATATTAATGTATGTGTAAAACTTGGGCATTAATTCCATATTAGTTTGTTTATCAGATGTATCACATAGTGAAACAGTATTATTATTTACTGGATGACACATCTTCGAACAAAATTTATTGTTCATAATCATATCAATAGTAATCACACGACTTCGAAACTTCAGTTTTATAGTTTTCTTTGTTTTCTCCTATTTGTCGTCGTAGGGGTAGTCGAATTTTCCAGATATCAGGGACAGGTGTTGAATCATTCCTATTACATGTATTCGCAGTTGATTCGGTAAACAAAGCTTCCGTTATCAATCTTTTCCTACGCCCCGTAACATTCGATTTTAAAACTGTCATCCTATACCATCCAGCCTATTGTATGGTTGTCTGTAATTGCATGTAGTGAGTGGTATAGCTGAACTAACTATTCTCTAGATTTCTTATCTTATTTGGGTCGACCAATCTAGATTTTGCTGCTAGGTTTTTATGTTCAGCTAGTCTGACTGCCCTGTTCTACTACTTTGACCTATGTATATGACCTGACAATCATTCCAGCTGGGTGTTAGATAAACTAAATTGCTTTGTTTTAAAAGCTCCCCAGGATCCTTTAACTGACAAAGCTTATTTCTAATTGAGTTTGTGGACATTTTGAATGCTAGCCACTTTTATTCCTGCCTTGTTAAGAATTCCGAGGTTCCTTTTTTGTATGGGATTACTACTGATGATTTAGATTCCTTATTGTTGGTGTCGTCATTATTATTATTATTATTATCACTATAGCTAATATCATTGTTTATTTTATATTTTTATTATTATTATTTTTATATTATCTAATCGGTATAGGACAATCGCTATTTTCTCCTCTACCCCTACTGTTATGCACATTCTACCTGTACACTCACCATCGCCTAGATTACATAAACACTTGGATGGATGTCTCCTTCTTATTATTATTATTATTATTATTATTATAATCACCTCGACTGCTATCCATTAATTCACACCCTGAACTCTGATCCTGTATATTCCATTAACCACATTAATTCAGATGTCTATAACTAATACTTCATTATGTGAAAAATGTAAATCCTCAAGAGAATTTACCGAAAATACCTATTTGCTTGCTTAAATCATTCTTGTTCTATAATTCTCTTTCCGTCATAATCACCCATAATGTCATTAAAAGTCTCTCTGATCTGATATTTAACGTTTTAATCTTTTAACAACCAGTCAAGGTCAAGGTCAAGAGGAAAGATGATTGTATCACTCAGGCGGGATTTAAAAAGGTCACCTGATTTTGAAGCAAGTGCTCAGTGTGTTATCTCGAAAGACAATGAGATCATCCATCTCAGAGAACACAACAGGATCACCTACATCCCTTTTTAGAGTCCGCGACACTTCAGAGTCATTTAGTCTGTGTGTTTGATGCGTTTCCTTACCATTTTGGACTAACCAGCTTAATAGAGGACAATATTCATCATTTCAAACACTGATGACGTGTCTTCTCCCAGTACGGACTCTTTCATGATGTCTGGTGAATGTTCACCAGCAGCGGAATCCAGAGTATGGATTTCGTCCCGTTTTTGGTGTTTGAAAATATGGCTAGCTGGATTCGATTCTTGGTGGGGACACCATCACTCATTGAGGATTGTAGGTGGTGTATCCTGCTGACGACTGCCAAATAGAATGAAATGCATATTCACTAAATAACACATAACATTGATTCGTATTCTTTTTTCATAGTCCTTATTAAGAATGAACAATCAGGGCAACTGATTGAAACCTATTACAACAGCAATGTATTTTTTGATGGTTATTTGGGTAAATAGTCTTATCATGATTAATGATTTTTAACCTCAATACTAATGCGTGTGATAAATCATGTGTTAGAGAAGAAGTGACTAGAAATCGACAGAACTTAGGATTCGTGGGGTAGAAGTTTCCCTCCCCCAGTAGCTAAACGGTCAAAAGATTCGCCTTCCAAACTGAAGGTCCCGAGTGTGGCCCTCGGTAGAGTGGCAATTGTTGGAGAGTCCCAAACTAGTCCAGTACTCTCTTGTTTTCGGTGATTCCCTAACTTATATCAATCCGTGATCAAACTTGAGATTAACTGCAAGGTGTTTTCGTGCGTAATGAATAACAAATGGTGCAATCGATATTTCAACTGTGTAAAAAATCGATGAAATACCTTTAAAACAATCAGGTGCAACAATTATATATTTGTAAAATCTCAATGAAATTGAAATGAGTAATTCCAACGTTTCCTGCGTCCGCCAATCTGGTTCGAACTTCTTCAGTGAAATTAATCGAAATTCATATAACACAGGTTTATATATAAAAAGGGGGACATCTGGTGTTTTTAAAAACTTTGTCCAATCATATGAGTCATGAAACAGGCATCAGCATGTATAATAAACAAAATTGTATCAAGTGTGATCAAAATTTGACCTCACTCTTTCAAAAATTAGTCTACATTTGTTAAACACTTTAAACAGAGTGTACTTTTCATCGGTACACGTTCAACTAAAAGTTCATGGTCGTAGATAACTGAATATGAAGAGTATATATGTGTATATGCAGTATACACTGGTGTGTGTATGTGTGTGTGTGGGTAAACAGTTGTAAAACATTCGTTAGCTGCTCCTTAAGAAGATATAGACAATCGGAAATTTTGACGAAGTATGATTAATTATTGATACATATCCACTTTTTGTATATATCAATCAGGATTTGGCATGTATCAGCTAACAAGATCACACCTTCACATCTGTTCAAACTATTGGGATTTACCCCATATAGGTAGGGCTTCCACAATCAATCTTTCTTTATACGAACTGAAACCTTTCTGTAGAACCTTAGTCCTAACACCAAAGTCGATTTTGTGTCCCGTTTCTATCGAATGTACTGCAGTCCAATCGCTAATCTGTTTTCTAGCTTCTTTAAGTTTGCAGCGGTCTTTGGAACCAAATTTAAACACTGTTTATGCTCCTTCACTCTTATTTCTACCTGTCTGGAAGTCGCTCCTACATATACTTCGTGACGGTTCCCACAGTTGATCTGGTACACACAATTCTGTTGGTTTTCTTCTATTTTATCCATAACCTTCACCAGTGATGAAGAGCGTAAGGTGTTAGTTGCACGAAAATACACTCTTATGTTATGATCGTTAAGGATTCGCTGTATCTCATCCGATGTTTCTTTGCGGTAAGGAATCACCGCTGTACTAACCCAATTCTTAACAATAGACTTCGATCCATCCTTATCTTCACATTTTAAATATTTTCTTATGAAGGCTTCGGATAATTATTTGATTCAAGAGTGGATTGAACCAGGTGTAACATTTGAAATGTTTGCCGTATTCCACTAAATAGGCAGTCGAAAATCACACAAGTCCGAGTACAACATCAGCTACTGGGATAAGTTCAAATTACAACTCACTACCTGTGTTTCAGCATGACAAAGAGGCGGAAATGAAAGGTAAAATAATACTGTAAACATTTCAAGTTTTACAATTGGCTCTTTCAAAGGTGTTTTATAGAATTATACAGACATCTTGAATATCTGTTTGCGCCATTTGTTATATTATGCGCGAAAATACCTCGTGATTATCTTTATTATCTCCGTTAAGTCACATGCTCAATTATTTTACCGCCATTTTTGAAAGTGTGCCATTTTCATTTTAATTACATAAACACGATCAAACAAAATCAATGGAGTAATCATTATTGTTATTTATTTATTTTATAGCTGGTCGAAAAGTAATCTTCAGAGGTCCTCAATCTTATTCTGGTTACAGAGGAAGCGGAGGCGGTGAAGTGCGACACGCAGGACCAGCTGCTCGCAGAGTTGATATTAGTAATGTTCAACTGTATGGTGCTAGGAAGAATGATGCAACATATCGTGAAGGTTTACAGGAATTAGCTGGATTAATGTAATGATAACTATACATCCATGATGTCATTTACTCTGCTTAACACTAATTGATTTTCTTTTACGTTATATACATTTACCATGTGAATACAATAAATTTCATCAAAAAATATTTTCATTTACAGTATACTGATCGATTCTAAAATGTATACATATATTGCTTTGGTTCGTCAACCAGTACACTCCAATTTTCTCTTAGATTGGCGTAAATAACTTTTAGGTGGTCATTCAGAGTTCCAGAGTATATTTAATCTCGGGAAAAATGTGTCTAACAACAAAATTCTAGCCTTACCCATTAACGCCTATCGCTAGACTCAAATCCTAATATACTTCATAAAACCTTAATGATATACTTCTCGACGAATACCAGCATATGTCTACAAGGAACTGGAATTTATTTGTAAGACAGTTTTTAACAAGGAACTTATTTTTTTAATAATTGAACCCTATTTTAAATCCTTTTTCTGTGGATATAGCGTGTTTTTGTCGCCTAAATTAGTATGGTCTACTTTGATTGGTTGCTTCAAGGTCATTAATTAAATTAATCAATAAATTAAATTTCAAGGCAAAATATATAGACAAACAGAAGGTGTAGCAATTGGGTAGATCACCAATATCCCCTGTGGTAGCAGATATCTTTATGGATAGGTGGGAAAATGTTGCTCTTAATACATTTCATCCTACTCCAAAATTATGGTGGATAACACTTTCACAGTGTTAAAAACAGAATATGTCTCTAGCATCTTGACACACATAAACTCACTAGCGGAGGGAATAAAATTAACGTTTGAATCCGAAAATGAACAACGAGAATTAGTTATGGAGTTAGATTGCAAAATAAAACGAATCGAAGAAGGTCAACTACACACTAGTGTTGATAAAAAACCAACACATTCTAATAGATATTTAGACTTTAATTCATCTCATCTGTTAACTGTTAGGTAGGGCTTAGTTAAATGTCTAACAAACCGAGCAGTAGCACTAAGTAGTACAAGAAAAGACCTAAATGATGAAATAAAGCAGACAGAAGAAGAAGTGTTGGTGTTAAATAACTAACTATCCTATCAAATTCATTAGGAAGATCAGTAAGGGTCAAAAGCAAAATAAAAATAACTTTGAAACTAGTAATGATAACATAAATAAGAAAGAATATAAGTCATCTACAGTTTCGCCATATCAAGAGGGGACATCTGAGACCCTCCGTAGGAAGCAGGAATTAGGGTGGTGGTGGCATTCAAACCTACAAACTCACTCAGGTAGAACTAGCTCTGTAGACTAAAGGACCACGTAGGTGGACCCAATTAGACAAAATAATATAATTTACAAAATACCACCTTGCAATGACTGTGAGTGAGTTCAACTACGTAGGTCAAACTAGTATGTCGGGGGTAATCAGATTGTTGGAACATAAGAATTTAACTAAGGACAGAATGGTTGAACCCGAGAAGATGAGTAATTTAGAAAAAAGCTCAGCAACAGCAGTGCATATATTAACACACAACCACACAATAGGGTGGGAGAGGGTTAAAAATTCTGAGATGCAATATAGTTAGGTGGAGAGAGACAGAGGTTGATTACTGAATACTGCCTGGTTCATCGAATCTACACACCCAACACATGCAACAGGAATGACTCAATGCAAATACCACAGATGTGCATGGAAGATATTATTACCACCAGTCAGTCAAATCACAGGAGGATGATAAATAATCTTAAAATTCTATTTCAATTCACATACATTATAACATTCTAACAAGTTACTTATTTTGACTATAAAAACACTCGTCTTATTTCCCATCTGATTGTAATTGATCAATAACACCCATATCATTATTTCTGAATATACTTAATCTTATCTTATTGATTTTATTCAAATTTCTAATCATCAGTTTCACTCATGTATATAAATGAAGCAAGAAAGTTGTGTGAGTGAGTGGCTTGATTTGATTATGAGTGGCAATAAGTTGTGCTCGAAACGTGGTCAGCAGTAAATATTACTTACTGTATAACACTATGAGACTTTATCAAAATAACAATTTTATCCATAATGGAGTTATACTCTACCACCACAGTGTTCAAGTTTTATACTTATATCAAGATCTGTGAGTCAGTCTTTCTTTAACTTTGCACATCATTCAATGTTTAACTACTCTCAACTTTTAGTCTGATCTAATTCGACTTCAGTTAGCTTTGTGGAGGTATGTTTTAAAAAAGTAAACTTTAATCTCTTCAATCGATAGGTGTTTGAACCCTTATCGATTTAATTAACTTACATCTTATATATATATATATACTTCTTCTACTTTCTGCACCAATCACGTTCTAGTTTCACTAAATCCCATAATTTAGCTGAAAATAATTACTACTTTTTTTAAGTACTGTCGTCATGTTTAGTAGATGTATAAAATAAAGGATGTAATCGACTATATTACAGTACATTCGATGGTGACACAGTGGTTAGGACTCTTGCCAGCCATGCACATGGTCCGAGGTTCGATCCCCTGCCGACGCACACTTGATATCTATGGTCGGCCTGCAAAATTTGGGTTAGTGATATCACATGCTGAAAATTCCATACTTGTACCGAAAATACAGTATGGAATCAAGCTGTAAATCAAGAAAATTAAAAAAAATAATGTAGCAGATGTAAGTAAAGACTGCAGGGCTATTTGCATCCTATAATAAAGATAGATAGCTTTCCTTGGTACAGAAATTGTCTTTTCGAGATGTGGTCTTTCTTTACCGTGACAAGTGATAAAGTTCTCCGGATAACCATTAACTAGCATATAGAAACAACAGACTTCTATCTTCGCCTACCATGGACTACATGACCTATTTAAATATGATTGGTCATTAGTATGTACTTTTGTTTTTTATTTAACTGAGTAATTTTCATGAACTTTATTTTATTATTGTTTACCATGTTAGTTGTAAAGCTGTTGTAAAGAAACTACGAAATGACTGTATCATCTCGCAAAATTTGTGTTCTAAATGCCTTTTTCAAATAATTTAATATGTGTGTATATAAATATAGTCAACAAAGGTACATGTTTCGAGGACGAATGTTATCAGCGACAATCAATGAACCAACAAATCAAATAGACTAGGTATAAGTTCAAGGTTGAAAATAACGAAAATTATAATGATTGTGAAATAATAACGATGATGTGGTGTAAACTTAAAAGTGCTATTGGTGAATGATTATCAAATAATAATAATAATTTTCTATAGTTTGGTTTGTAAGGGTTTGTTATGTTATTACGAGTTGATCACGGACTGATATCAGTTAGCGAACCATTGAAAACCAGGGAGTACTGGACAGTTGCTGTTTCATCCTAGTTTGGGAGTCATCGACAGTACGCACCCACTGCCTGGGTTCGAACCCAGGACCTGATGCTCACTAGTGACTTGCTACAGGTTGGAGTTTCCTGAGTCCACATGAGCAGGTGAACTCATAAATACACATTGATGAAGCCATCTTTGGTAATTTCTTTCTTTGACTCGTTGTGTGAGTACGGGTTTAGGTGACAAGCTGAGTACCAGTTCAGCTGCAGGAATTTTTCTCTCTACTGCTCTTTTAAGTCGACATTTTAGAATGTCAGTTGCAATCTGCCCTTTACAACTTAATTTAAGATACAAAGTTTTTTTTTATCTACGGTAACCATCATTACCCTTGTGGTGAGAGCAGCCTGCTAGCCAATTGGTTGACATTAATTTACGTCAATGTCTAGGTCACTAATATGGGCCGTGAGAAAATATGAACACCGCTGTTTCAACAACCAATCACAGCAAACTTAAATGTGGGCGAATATGATTCGCAGATAGATGGCTCCACATTCCGAGGAACTCGAAAACAACCAATCAGAGGACTGCGTTTGTCTACTTGACTAGGCTATAAAAATGTATGTGAAATTCATATAAATACGTGTTGATTTCCGTAATAAAACGACCTGTTGCCTGGCCCTTGTCTTCTGTTGTTACACCCTAGGTCTAGGTATCGGCATATGTATTTTTGTTCTGTCGCATCTTACACTTGTTCCACACCACACTGTTTGATATAATTCTAATTTGCCCTTACTGTTTGGCTATTTTATGCTTAAATTAATGGATTCATGATTGTACAGACTGAAGAAGAGTAACTTTATTGAAGCCACAATTTTTCACTCTAACTATTTGTATACAATTGGTGGATGGTGGCTAGCAGTGGAATCCAGGATGAAGCGCATTTCGTCCTATTTGGGACTCGTCAGCTGGATGTACCTGCATTTCTCAGTGAGTGATGATGTTCCCACTGAGGCTCGAACCCAGTGCCCATAGTTTCAAACGCCAAAGCGTTATCCACTAGACCACTTGGGCCACGAGAGCCACCTCTTGTGTTCGGAAAAAATTATGGAAACTTCAAACTACTTATACACTTGTAAGTAGGATAAAATTAAAAGTAGAATTAGCAAATCCACGAAATTAAGACTAATGTCTTGAAACTTTAATGTCACCTTTTGAGCTAACTTAATCCAGGATTACAAGACCACTTTGCTTCAGTATTGACAGAATTACAAGGAGCTTATTTCGATGGCAACGTTTATTAGAGTAAAATTGGATATTACTGCGTCTGAATGGTTTCACGTACATCTTTGAATATTCATGACAATCTAAACATTCTCTTAAGAACTGTACCTCTGCCTTTGCTGCTGCAAGCTTGACGGAGTAACTCAGAAAACTGTCCAGGTCCTTCCCCATCGATAGAAGAGTAAAAATGGATAAGATTTTCAGAATAGGATGGGAGCTTTTAGTTCAGGTGGACGATTTTGACTTAGTTGTGTTCTCTGACCTACCTAGATGGTTTATTTGAGAAGCTGTCATTGCTTCAACACTGTGCAACGTCTTCAGTGCATACTTCATTTTGAAGTGAGCGTTTATATTTCTCCACGTGTGTTTTAGTTACCTCTCCTGGTCACCTTGAAAGTGACTCTTTGGTTGTTTTTATGTGTTTTCACAACCTCTAGGC